TCCTAATAGTGCATCTCTAAACTCAGAGAGTATCTTGTTAAATGAAGACTGAATGTGTCTGTGCTGCTTTTAAACTGTTCCTGCCACACAAACATGTGACTGTCACATTAAAGGCCTAGCTATCCTTAAAGGAATACATACTATACATCTTTCATGCCAAGTATTCCTTTGCCCACTACCTCTATAGGTGTACAGGAAGTATCCTGATCAGATGAACTACCTCAACTGACTCTTTTGATGTGGAGGAGCAGCATCAGTACTCCGAGCTCCACCTGGATGACATTTTGACCGCTTATGTCCAGGATCACATTATTCCAGTCATCTACACCTCTTGACCATAGGTGAAGGTTGGAACATAGATGACCATTAAATCAGGAGCTTTGCCTTTCYACTCAGCTCTTTCTTCACCATGACTGACCGAAGCAACACCCTCATTACTGAGGACAAGGCCCCAATTCGTRYATCCATCTACCACTCCATCCCACCATCACTCGTGAATAAGARACCCAGATACTGAAACTCCTCCACTTGAGGCAGAGACTTTTCTCCTAACCTGTAGGGGTATTCCATCCTTTCTGGTCAAGAACCATGGCCTAAGACTTAGAGGAACAGACTTTCACCCCAGCTGCTTCACACTCAGCTGTGAACCACCCCAGTGCACGCTGAAGGACCTGGCCCAATGATACCAACAGAACAAGATCATCAGCATACAGCAGACATGAGACTGTGGTTCCCAAACCAGAGCCCCACCACTCCTTGACTGCGCCTTCAGATCCTGTCCACAAACACTACAAATAAATTCAGAGACAAGGGACAGCCCTGGAGTCCAACACGCACTGAGAACAAGCTCGACTTTGTGCCAAGAATGCAAACACAGCTCCTGCTTTGGTTCTACAAGAACTGGATTGCCCTTAGTAATAAGCCAGACACGCCATACCCCCACTYCCCCCCACCCCCACCAAGCCTTTTCCAAGTCCAAAAAACACTTTTAGATCAGAGAGGCAAACTCCCATGATCCCCTTGGCAACTCTGCAAGATCTGGTCCACTGTTCTATGCCCAGAATGGAACACTGCTACTCCTAAATCCAAGGTTCGCTGATCAATTGGAGCCTCCCTTCCAACACCCTGGAGTAAACTTTCCTGGGGWTTGCAAAAAAATGTGATCCCACAACAGTTAAAACACACTCCTTGATTCTCCTTTTTTAAAAATGAAAACCACCACCCTTCATACTTGGGTTGCTGCCACGACAGGCACAGATAACTTTCAGGCCACAGCTCCTAGAAGCCACATGTGCAATGGAGACCATGAACATGGCCCATTAGGATTCRATGTCCCCAACCTCCCTTGGGACATGTGAAACACTCTCCCAGAAGTGAGAGTTGAAGATCGRACGGACAGGGGACTCTACCAGACATTTTCAGTTCACCCTCACTCAGTTTGGGTTTACCTGGAGGCCATCAGAGAGGCCACACCTCCCAGTAACCTCCTTCCAGATAACTCCGCCATTGCCCACATGGGCACTGAAGTCACCCAGTAGAATAGGGGAATTTCCAGACTGCACCCYTTCCAGGACACCATCCAAAGACTCCAAAAAAGACCGGGTAATCTGAACTGATGTTTGGTGGATAAACACAAACAGCAGTTAGAACCTTCCCTCCTGCAGCACAAAGCAGCAYAGAAGCAACACTCTGGCACACCTAAAAAAAAACTCAACATCGAGGCATGCAGTCGGGAGCTTGTGTGTTTCCTCACACCCGCCTGTCACCTTTCTCCCAGGGCAACTCCAGAGTAAAAGAGAGTCTAGCCCCTCTCCAGGAGTTGGGATCAAGACCTCAAGCTGTGAGTAGAAGTGAGCCCAACTACATATGACAGGTAACACTCAACCTTGTGCACAAGTTCCGGCTCCTTACACACAAGTGAGGTTCCTGAAGTAGCTGATGTTCCATTTCATTAAATGGTTTMACTCACACTTAGTCTGACCCCTACCCCGACTCTTGTTTACCATGGTACACCCTACCAGGTAGTGCTGGGCGGTATACCAGTTCATACCTAATAACATTTATTTTAATGATATGAATTTTCTGAATACCAACATACCGGTTGAAATAGTGATGTGTTCGGCCCGGTTCTTCTGAGCTTGTCAGCGGCTGGACCCTTCTCGTCTGCCCGCGTCTGCTTGCTGCTTTGCTGCTGGGTTGCTGGAAGTTGCTGAATGTRAAAAAACCCTTTGGCAAACACAGGACTGAAAAAGATGACGATAATTCTTCAGCTTCTGGACAAGTTTATTGCGAGACAGATGGGAACAGGTCAGAACAGCGAGATGGAAAAATTGGACTCAACAAAGGGCGCGCACCCGCTCGAAGGCGCGCTCACATTTCTTAAAGGCACAGTACA